TTCCAGAATCACAACAACATGTAAGCCACCACAATAGAGGACAAACTGACAAATGAGTGGTTGTTCTTTCCTCCTATTCCCTCTTAACTTGACCCTCAACTGATTATCCAATCAGAGTGTTGTTGTTGTTGTTGTTGTTAAGTGCCATCGAGTTGGTTCTGACCCATAGCGACCCTGAACAGGGTTTCCAAGGCTGTAAATCTTTATGGGAGCAGAAAGCCTCATCTGTCTCCTGTGGAGCAACTGGTAGTTTCGAACTGCTGACCTTGCGGTTCGCAGCCCAATTCATAACCATTATGCTACCAGAGCTCCTTATCCAATCAGAGTAATCTGGTTAAAATATACATCAAATCATTTTAGTCTCCTGTGTGAACCTGTCCAATGACTACTTATTACACAGAATGAAATCTAGTATTGTATTACGTCGTACAAGGCCCTTCTCTGCCTACTCGCGTTAGCTATTATTGCTGTTTTCATTTATTTCCTCCTTTCATGCTCAAAGAGAACTGTACTTTTATACATCTCTGAAGCAAAGACACAACTGTGTGACTTACTTTGGACAGGAAATATGAACAAAAGTGATTGAAGAGCCAGCACATTATTTTTAGTACTCATTCTCCCCATTTTGTGGTGTTTGTGAGAAAAAGTATTGGTATGGTAATACCATAAGGGTGAAATGGCCTGAAGTGTTAGACTAACACATAGAAGAGAGTTATCCTAGAAGTTGGCTCAGGTAAGAAATAGACTTTGGTTGTGAGATTTGGGAGTTCTCACTGCAGCAAAACATAGCTGATACGCTGTCTTATCATGCATTCTGTTCCTTGGTTATACAGTGCTTGGATCATGCTGGCCTTTTTTTCATCTCCTGAAACACATCAAGATATTTAGTTGTTCAGAGTCATTGCACATCCTGTTCCCTCTGTCTGGAATGCTCTTACCTCAATTCTTTGAATGGTTGGGTAATCTTTCTGCTTTGACTTCTAATGAGGAATATAATTCAAGGAAAAATAAAATGCCAAAGTCTGAAATGGAAGAATTTATAAATTGAAGGGGTTGGGAGAAGGTGAACAGGAGTGAAAAAGAGAAATGCATTACTCATTTTCTAATTCTTTCATTTGATCAGCATTTAGTGAGTTGTTTTTATGTGTTGAGTTGTATTATATATGCTGAAGCAATAAGATGAATGAGACATTGGCTCATTCATCTCAAAACTTCAGGCAGTTGTTGTCCAGTTGGTTCCAACTCATAGCAACCCTGTCTATATAGGGTTTTCAAGGAGTGGCAAACCATTCCACTGCTTATCCTACAGCTGCACACCAGGAGGAAAGGCAGGGGAAGTCAGTCATGAATGCTGAAGGTATTACATAAGGTAAGACTTAGAACTCATGGAATTTGCATAGGAGGAGGTGGTTAGAGATCTTTGTGGAGCAGTGATGGGAACAGAAATAGCTTGTGATGGGTTGGTGCTTAAGTAGAGTCAAGAAGATGTTGTTCTTAGTTGCCATCTTGTCAATTCCAAATCCTGGTGACCCCATGTGTATAGAGTAGAACTGCTCTGTAAGGTTTTCAAGGCTCTGACCTTTCAGAAGCAGATCACCAGGCCTGTCTTCCCAAGTGCCTCTGAGTGGTTTCAAATTGCCAACCTTCACACCAGTCAGGGACTCCAAGGGAGAAACAGTGAGCTTTAAGTAATAATAATTGCTGCCTGTGATGGTCAGTCTTATGTATCAACTCAGTTATACTATAGTCCCTAAGTATTGAAATACGAATCTAGGTCTTTCTGTGAAGGTGTTTTGTTGTGAATCAGATCTGTAATTGACATAATTAGTTCACTGTAAGTATGGGACATTAATCTAAATAATTTGTGCAGACTTGATTTAATCAATCGAAAGCTCTTGAAAACAGAGTTGAGGTTTTCTAGAAGAAATTCCTCCTGTGCACGGCACCTGCAACTCATGCCTGACAATTCCAGCTTGTCCTCCCTGATGGCCAGCACGAGGAATGTGGATTAACTAGACAGCCCCACATTGTGGAAGTTCTGAGAACCAGTTTGCCCCTAGCTGAGAACACTAGGAACTTTTACACTAGGAACTTTTACACATATTATTTCCACCCTTTCAAAATGAGTGATATTGCCCTCAATTTACAGATGATGAAACCAAACTGAGAGACTAAGTCATGCATCAACTGTGGCTGGATAAAAACCCAGGTCTGCTGACTGCAAAGTCCATCCATTCTTCCTCACCTGGCCTGCAGGACAAATGTGCCCTGCATATGTTGCCAGACCTCTGGTTTTCATTAAAAGATTATATACAGCAGTCACTGAAGGCAGCAGGCTGCTCCCTGGAGAGCTCCCAGAAAGACCAGCATCTGAATCACACACAGCTTGTTTTTGTTGTTGTTAAGGGCTATCAAGTCAATTCTGACTCACAGTGACCCGAGGAGCGGCTGGTGGGTTTGAACTGCTGATCATTTGCACTAAGAAGTCATACTGACATCACTATGCTGCAAACGCCAAACCAAATGAGGTGAGAGAGAGATATGTGTGTGTCTCAGAACAGAACTGAGCTCCTAGTGTTTTCAGTGGGTGCAGTGGATCATGAGGCTTTTCTTCTGACATGCCTCTGGGCAAACGCAGACCTCCAACCTTCCAATTAGCAAGGGAGCTCATTAATCATTGGCATCACCTGGGATTCCAAGCCCACTGCAAGTTGGTGGAAAATCAAGACTAGGGTTTTCACTGGCCAGTTCATAACACATTCTATAAAGGGAAAACATAGTTTTAAAGTATTCAGGTCACTCTCAAAGATCCAGTTCTAACCAAATGAGGCAGATTCAAAATAGTGTGAAAGTTTGAAAGGAATCAGATTGGAATTAAAGAACAGTGTCAGGATCGATAAATGCTAATGGAGATGAGTCAATGTGTAAATTCGATGTGCCTGAATTCCCGGTCTTACCATACTAATTCTATTTGGAACAGATGTGAAGAAAAAAATAAATAAAAGACTGCAGAAAGACTCAGAATTTTGAACAGAAGCAAAGGGCAAAGTTTTTCTAATTTTTTTCTTATTTTTCCCTAGACTATAAAAAAATTAACAATGGAATCTTATTAATTATTCACAAAAGAAGACTAAGAATCCCAAAGCTAGAATGAATTTTCAAGTGATCCACAGCAGTAATTCATTAAGTGAACCCACTCCCCATCATACACCTCCCTACTCCCTCCACTCCCAGCCCTGTCAGAGGAGAGGAGGGAAGGTCTACACCTTGGCCAATGGAAGAAGGGAGAAAGGAGCTGTGGGGAGCTACAAGGTGGGGAGGCCAGGAGGGGCACGCCAAGTGGCTCAGTGACACTTGGCACTGCAGGGGCCAGAGCATGGGTCACCCATGGGAAAGGAAAGGTTCACCTGCGGAAGCATCCACTAGGGGTAGTGACACATGAATTAATATGCTGTGGACACCAACCCTAGTGAGCTCACTAGGCACATTTTTTTTTTTATAGTAATGAGACTCCTGGCGGAGCCCTCATGATACAGTGGCAAAGCACTTGGCTGCTAATCATCAAGTTGGTGATTGGAACCTACCAGTGGCTCTGTAGCCTTGGATACCCTGTGGGACACTTTTACTCTGTTCTGTAGGGTTGCCATGTGGTGCTAGAGGATAAACACAGGACCGCAAGGTTGATTTGAACTGCAGAGCCAGTGGGTTGAACACACCAACCGCTCCCTCAGAAACCTGATACAGGATTGCTATGAATCGGAACCCACTTGACAGCACCTAACAACAACAACAACAACTATAGGGTTGCCGTGAGTGAGTAGTAATTAACTTGGTGGCAGTGGGTTTCCTTTTGGTAATGACACTCCTAGTTAACAACTCTGGATGTGAATAAGCACGTCGGAATCACCACAGAGGAAAAAGAAACACTTGGGTGAGCCTTCACAGATGGAATCTGATACAAAAGAAAGGTACCTTACAGGTGTTTCAGTACCATTACTGAAGTTAAACATTAACCAGGAAAGACACACGTTCGGCCCTACCACCCAGGTACCAACTGCTTTATTGTTTTAGTTTAAAAAAATATAGATTTGATACCAGGAAAGAGTTTAATGATCCAAGTTTGGCAGAAAGGAGGGCAGTTGGTGCAGAACGAATGCTCATATTTACCAAGCAAGGCATTTCTCTGTCTCCTTTGGCTCAGGTTCCCGTTACTATATATTTTCAATGGTTGGTGATATTTCAATAAGAACTTTTCAAAAAGAAAGGAAGGAAGAGAGAGAGAAAGAAAGCAGAAAGGAAAGAAAGCAGGCAGGAATGTAGGGAAGGAAATAAATCTGTACTCTCTGATGAGATTACATAGGTAGGGCTTCAGGCCGACTGAAGAGATGATCAGCCCTTGCCAACGAATCTCTAAAAGCACAAAACAATGGGTGACATTGTTCTAACTCTCTTTACCCAGGATCATCACACTTTGGGAGGCAAATTCTGAAATGTGCTGGCCACCAGGAATTTAATGACTTCTAGCTGAGCTGGCCTCCAAGCATAGCAATCAGAAGCAAACAATTCTCAGCAGTCATCTGGAGAATGTGTGTGAAATCTTCAGAAGCTACTGAAAGCAGGATTTCCCATGCCCACTGAACTTTGGACACTGCTAAGACAGTCCATTCCATTCCATTTCAAAATTACATGGACTGAGTGCTACTGAGCTGCCCTGCTCAATCCCCTAAAGCATAGGTATCCAGGACACCACCGCTATGTCTTTTTATATAAGGCAGATGGGGTTGAACTATACCCTTTCATTCTGAACTATAAGCAATCTGGCCTGGGCAATCTCTTCTTTTTTGAAGGATCACACCAAGTACATGCTCGCTATGAAGTTCACATCCCACAACCCCTGAGATTGAAGTTCTCGCTCCTAATTACAGTCCTGAGTTGTGGCTTTGCCTCCCTGAGTCTCTGAGGAGGGCTTCAGGCTGAGCTCTGGGGCTGAGAAGAAAGTTTCAAACTGGGCCATATAAGCCCAGGTTCCGGGCAGTTTGGGAGATCCTTGGAGTTTTCCTCTGAGGAAATGGATAATGAGCTGATTTACCGGACTTGTGTAGGTTCTTTGTGGGAGGAGGGCACTGAATGCTCGAGTTTAAACCTTCTTCTAGTACTTTTGTTTGGGTATTGGCCACTTGACATTGACACTGGGCTGCCTCTGAGAATTCGGTCCCTTGCTGAGTCCTGTGATTGCTATCAAACAAGCCTGGGTCTCCTTTTGGAGGCAGCCTTTGGTCAGACCCGGTAATCCTGTCCTTGTGCCGTGCTTGATTACTTGTTTCCTCACAGAAGGTTTGGACCAAGCAATGCATCTCTAGGTGTGTGTGCCATGGAGACTTGTGGGTCTGAAGACAGTCTTGGTCTGCTGTCTCTGGCATCCCTTTGGCCTCGGGCTCTGCCTCCTCCAGGGACAGTGAGCTCCTTCTCTCCTTGTTAATCCAAACAGTGCTGATCCTGGGCTGAGCCGGGGCAAGAGCAGGAACGTTTCCCCCTGAGAAGGGAAGGCACAAGCAGGGTTACCACTGGAATGTAAACAGGCAGCTCTCATTTTGGGGGTTTCAGAGTTTCTAAACTGAAAGAATGCCTGGGCCAGAATATCAAGTAAGTCATCTACCGATTACATTGTATGTGTGAGAATAACTATAGTAGTTAAGTCATAGGGTTGTTGTAGGGATTAAGTATGTCATTGTTGTGAAGTGTTGTCGAGTCAGTTCTGATTCATAGTGACCCTGTATAGAGTTTCCAAGGAGAGACTGGTGAGCTTGAGCCAC